TCCTGCTCCTGATTTGGTGATTTACCTTGGGAATGTTTACTTTTACTATGGATAACTTTGTCTTTGCTTTCATGCTTTTATTCTCCGTGCTTTATTCTTTACCCCGTATGATGGACTGTAAGGCGATAGTCAGTTCTGGTTTTCAGCTTTAGCATGTGGTGCTTACCTGCCCATAGTCATTTTACTTGTCCGTTGTAAGGTTACTCACCTTTTGGCAAGGGACAACAGAACTATTGCAGAAGTGACACTCATAAGCACCTCTTGAGTGTTAAGAGGAGTTTCGCTTGAATTATAATCAGGCCTTTTATTGCAAAGCCGTATCCTGTGTTACATGTTGTGTGGAATAAACTTTTGGCATCTCTTGAAGCAAGATGTTTCCCTGCTAATATTTGCGTAAGGAAATGGATGACCCAAGATTTACGTCCTGTTATAAAGCTTTTGAAGTTAATCATTGTTTTAGACCAAATAAAGCTGGGGAAAGCCTTTACAAAGAAATTTGGATGGGAGTCTGCCAAAGGTGCCGAGAAGGCCCTCTTCTCTTGTGTGGAAGTTCTGCATTTGTCACTGCTGATTTTGGGACAAAGTACTTAAATACTTGGCTCCCTGTCTTGTGGCCTTGTGCGTTGGTTTGAGTGGTGTCTATAAAGTTTTTGTCTTTTTTTTTTTTTTCTTCTTTAAACTAAAATAAAAACACACAAAACCCAACTCCAAATCACCTCCTTTCTACTCATACTTCTAATTCCAGCGTTGAAATACTTTCATCTTTTCTGTCCTCAGGTTTCCCAATAACTGCTTACAGAAACACAGGGAGACTGGGTAGTTGTTCTTTCGCATGCACCCCTGTATCTCTGTAGCTGCCATCTCCTGTAATAATGTTTGACTGCTCTAAAAAGTTGTAATTTTTCTAGCAAAGGAAAAGCGAAAGAGTGAGGTTTATGGCCTAAATTCTCTTAGAATGGTGTTAGAACATAGAATTTAAATGTCAGGAGGATATTCTTCATACACAGAAAAAACTGTTCTGAAGATAGTGCGTCAAGGGAATTCTCTGGACTGCTCATCTGTTAGCTGTCTGAATGTGCTGCGTATTACTGAATATCAAACTCAGTAATTGCTTGTACAACTGAGGATGGGCCACCCCTTGGCTTAGATAGCGTGTATGCTCTCATGGTTTTTTAATACCTATACTATGAGTTTTGTCTTAAGTATTAATTTTCCATTTGGCGGCTGTTTTTCAGCAGTGTGTTCTTTCTTTGTAGAGTAAAAAAAAGAAGAAGACAGACTTTATACCGTACAGGGATTCTGTACTAACATGGCTTCTTCGAGAAAATTTAGGTACGGTTGATTTGTTTGTGCCGTTGTGCTAAGAAATTCTAACTAAATTTTCTGACGGCTTTTAACTTACTTAAATTAAATGTGTGTCAAGTATGAGGGTAAATATTTTTACTAGTCAAATCTGAGTCATATAGTTCCAACTTTTGTTAAAGTTAAAACTCTTTCTTATGATTTTTGTATGTTCCTTAGTAATGTAGAATATCAAAATCTGTAATTTATTGAAAATACCGATATTTAGTAGGTAATTAGTGCCCGGATTGTGCACTGTAGTTTCACGTAAAATCTTGCCTGTTCGTTGTAGGTGGTAACTCCAGAACTGCAATGGTTGCTGCTTTGAGTCCAGCAGACATAAACTACGATGAAACTTTGAGCACTTTAAGGTACTTTCTTTTTATCTGAGGTGGATATGGGTAGCTGTTAGCTCTAATGGCCACGTTCTATCCTTCAGACCTTTGGGTTGTTATAGTTTTAGAAAAGCTGCGGGGAAGAAGACTATGCTGGCAAGAACTCAATTACCTTGAAAGAGGGAAATCAATGTATTGTATGTGAATAGGGAGCTAGGGATTTATTGGCTACCCTTCACTTGAAAAATCAAACTCGTTTTCTCGTGTTTGTATGTTCTTTTCCAGTGTGGTCCCTAAACGTGAGCATACTAGTCAAGCTGAGGCTTCAAAGCACTGAATAAAGAAAAAAGAAAGAACAGTGTTGTCTGTTGTACATATTGTTAATCCATCTCAAATAGGTCTTGTCTTTTTTGCAGGAATACCCAGTATTAAATACAAATTCAAATGCATGATTGGGTATAATCCGGGATTCGCTTCTGACATACAGCTGCAAGCTAAATGTCTCCTATATTGCTGCATTCCTGTGTTGCATATAAGCACTGATATATTCGTTGTAAGGTTTCATTGTGATCTGGTTCCAGATACGCTGATCGTGCAAAGCAGATTAAATGCAATGCTGTTATCAATGAAGATCCCAATGCCAAGCTGGTGCGTGAGCTGAAGGAGGAGGTGACAAGGCTTAAGGATCTCCTACGTGCCCAAGGACTGGGAGATATTATTGACAGTAAGTGGATTAAACAGATCTTACCGTCTTGAGGTTGGTCTCTGTTATGGAGGAGGGAGAGCTGGGCTTGTGAGAAAAAGGGGTTTAAACCATGGAAGTAGGTGTTGATACTAAATTTTGAACATGGCTTTAGAAATGGTAGCCTCTTCTGTGTTTAAACAACCCATCCCAGGATTGTCTGTGGAGTTGACAGGCCACCTTCAAACTCTCAAGGAGAAACATGAAGATTTGTTTCCTGTTACTGTAGAAACGATTTTGTGTAATAGAACTTACGCATTCAGGAGTTGCCCTGGTGAGTTATGGAGGGCTTTTTGTCTGGCTGCTGATAGAAGGAGGTTAGTTGAGATGTAGATACTTAATTTCATACCAAAAAAAGAAAGCATCTTTTCTTCCTCCTTAAAGGGTTAAGGTTATTGGTTGATACCTGGCTTCAATGCCATCCTTGCTCAGAAAAGAAAACGATGGATAATTCCTGTTAGACGGTGTCCTGAATGACCAACCATTTGTCATCTCAAAATAGCTATGAAACAGCTGCTTGTGAATAAATAATGAATTCTTTTGGGACAAGATTTTGCGTTAGGTTGGCAGAGCAGTACTGTACTGATTTGCTTTGCCAGCAACCTCTTAAAGCACCAGAACACACTTGTGCCTGAATTATTTCCTCGTCTTCATTCCAGACATTCCAAACTAAAATTTTAGCTGCTACATTCTTCTATAATGTGAACAGTGATTTAATTCCTAGTGAAGGAGATGCCCATAAAAACACAGAATGTATTCTAGTGGAATAAAAAAATTCTTTGACTTTAAAAAAAAAAAAAGTAGATGTTGCACCAGTTTCTGATTTGTCAGAGCTTATTTGCCTGTGAAGCAGAAGTCCTGCCTTAGTCACAGACTTCTTGAAGATGTGTAACATGTATTTACCTTTTTGTTGGCTTGTTTTCAAGAGAATGGGGCTAGAAGACAATGAAATGCGGTGTTTTCATGCTTGGTACAGTCTGTGTTTTTTGGTTCTAAGTCAAAACTGAAAAAACTGTTACTGAAAATTGTGTTTTGTTTCTTTAAACATCAAGTAGTATTCTCTTCCCTTCCTGTGTCGCTAGTGAACCTTCAATTTTGATCCTTCTTGTATTTTCCCTCCTGCTTCCTTTCAGTTGATCCAATGGGAGATGAATACTCTGGAAGTGGAGGCAAATGTGTGTATTGTGTGGTTCTCTTTTTAACCTGCTTTCTCTGGGTCAGCTTTTAACTGAGCTTTGCATGCCAGCATTTCTCACAGGGAAATCCCAGACAGAACACTCACTGTGGAATACAATGCAGTTTCATGGAAACCAGCTTAACCAGCATTTCTTAGATTGAGTCGACAGTCAAAAAAAAGTGCGAAGTTTAAAGTGCAACATATGTTCATTGCTTTCTTTCTGACAGAATACAGAAGGGGAGAGTGGTAGTTCTTTAGTCTGTTTTCATGGCAGCCAACAGTTTAGATTTGAACTAGACAGTCTTTGTCCCAGATCTTTCTCAAGTTACTCAGTTGAAACAGCTTCTGCTCACCTCCCTTCCTGGCCTTTGAACATCTCTCTTCCACCTAGAAGTATTCATTTTAAATATGTCAAATTAACTCAATGTTATCAGTTCCTCCTGGTGACTGAGATTTATTAATTTTCTATAGTCTCTTAAAAAAAAGAAAGTTGGACATCTTACACTGATGAAGGTCTCTTATTTGAGCTCCAGTACTTGGTTGGTAACTTAATAGGGGTAAAAACAGTCAGCAAATTTCTCTTCTACTGTTTGTTTGTATGTGAGGGAAGTACACGTAGTCCATTGCAAGAGAAATGTATTCTCTGTAAATTTTGGGTTGGTAGACTTTTTAAACTCTTTCAGTCAGTCTTCTTCACCCTCAGTCAGTATCAGCTGGAAGAGATCTGTCTGAAATTTCCTATAATTAAAGCTACTGGTGGTGTAAAGACTCATCCTGGCCTTGTCTTACGTTCTGATGCTGCTTCCAGTGTGTGCATATGTCATCCGTGTGAAAGCTGCAGCCTCCAGGAGAAGCGTGCATGATGTTGAGGGTTTTGGTTCTCTGTGGTCACAGCAGCTGTGAAAGCTATTGCAAGTGCCCCTTCTTCTATCTTCAGGAGTGCATGTGTCTATTGGCCTTTCGAGACTTCATCTTCCCTGCTCCGTCTTGCCTGCTTTCCTCATCCCGATGGCATTCCCTTTCCTTAACCTGCTTTTCTTCTGTTAAACGCCCACCCCTGCTTCCTGTATTTGCAGATGGTGGTTTTCAAACTGACTTGTTGCAATCATCAGTTTCATGAGGCTGAAACAGCAGGTTGAATGTGGAGTGAACTAGGGCGTAAGGCTGACAATAGCAGAATTGTTCAGGATAAGAGTAGAGGAGATGTAGGAGGACATGAAAATTTATGCAATGTCTGGGTGAGCATCTCGTTTTTGTAAGCCTGAAGCCCTGGTTTATAACTTACAAGGTCTGATTTGACCCATTTCTTTCCTAAGGATACTTATTTTAAAGGATTTTTTTTAAAATAGAATTAAAAACTATCAAAATTATTAAAACGGAGCTATTTAGTTGTCTGATATTTCCATGTTACAAGATTTTTCGTTTTTGTTGTGTGATTATTCTGAGGATATGGTTTACAGACATATCTGAGAAGCTAAGGTACATTAAAATAAATTGCCTTTGGATAGTCACTCTTAAGTCATTCATGCACTTTTCCCTTGTTTTCTGTCTTTCAAGGGGAGGTATCTTTCAGGCCTCCAGGTTTTCAGGCTACAAGCTGCCTTACTAAATTTTGGGTTTTTTTTTAAGGCCTTCCTCATCTAAACTAAGACCAAAAAGTTTTAAAGCACTGTCTGAAGTATGAGAGCCCTATCACATATCTTGCTGATCTTAGATTTTCATTTTTCAGATAAGGAGGGTCAAGAAGTAACATGATGATGTTATTGTGAACTTGTGTTTTCTCTCTGTCATGGACTGACAGGTGATTTACATACTCTCCTGTGAGAATTTAAGGAGGGGTAATTCTTTGTCCTTGTGCTCTGGGTGGTTCAGCAGCAGAACCACTGCTGTGATAAAGATTTACTTCATCATCATTTTAGATTAAAGGAGTCTAGAAGAGAGTGTTTTGCTGAGTTTAAGGGGTTGGTGTCTATTCAGACTTCAGCCCAAAATGACGCTGATCTCATGAGGAACTGAATCTGCTCCGTGGCGCTCAGTTTAGCGTTCAGTTAGGAACGGGATGGTTTATTTTTTGGCAAATGCGCCATTTATTTTTTCAAGCTTTTTTGATCAAAATAATTTATGATGTAGTCCTTACTAATAGTCCTCAGGGTCTGAACTGAGTTATCATTATGTTATGGAGATGAATATTAAAAGATTTGTTTCAGAACTGCCATCTAAAAATTACAAAACTTGTTGCTGCTTAAATGCTTTCCTCTTACACTGGTATTTCCTTCCTTTCCTTTTTCTTCTTCCTTCCCTCTTCCTACTTTCCTTTTTCCCGTCTTTCTGCCTTCCCTCTGTCTGTGCGTCTCTCTCCCAGATTTGAAAGATTTTCAGAACAATAAACATAGATACTTGCTAGCGTCCGAGAATCAACGTCCTGGCAATTTTTCCACAGCCTCCATGGGGTCCCTCACTGCATCTCCATCCTCCTGCTCTCTCAGTAGTCAGGTGGGCTTAACATCTGTGTCCAGTATACAGGAAAGAATCATGTCAACACCTGGAGGAGAAGAGGCAATTGAGCGTTTGAAGGTAGGTATTGCTGTAGATTAAGGAGGATATTGTTTTGGTCTTTTCCAAGACTAAATAGCAGTGAACCCGGGAGAACTTTCCTTCATAAATACACCCAGTATGCTACTGTTTCTGTACAAAGTTGTCTGAAACCCACTTGCACCTTAAAAAGGGCACTTTCTGTACCACTGTGGTGATACAGAAACTGGGTTCATGCACAGCCCTTTGTGTTAGGATTATTTAGGTTTAATTGTAGCCTGGAGCTACAACTAAATTATAAATTGAAATCCTGATTCTTGTTTACAGGTCCTCTGATGCTGTGGTAATTATGGAAAATTTGATCTTAAGTATAGACTTCAGGAGACCTGGTCAGCACTAATGGACAAAGTCTGACTAGCAAATGCACTCAGCTTTCAGAAAACCAAATTACCCCAAAGTTGAAAAAAGGAGGAAGAATAATCCTGCCACTGTTGTATTTGCCCAGCCCCCACAGATTAAAATGTGAAGCACACAGAATAGCATGCTTTATCCAGACAATAGCAGCCTTGTCCCAATTCTGCGTAGAATTGAACCGCATCAAAAGTGCATTGCAGTGAAGTATTTCTTAATTTTTATGAAAACCCGCCCCCCCCCAATCTCCATGGGTGGATGAGTGGGGAGAGCTGGCTATGTTGAATCTATGCTTCATTCTCATGTCTTGTCCATGAGACAGTGCCACAGGGATTGGAATGGGCTGGAACACGCACTGCATATCCCTTTCCTATTGGAAACCCAGTGTTGCCATGGAAATAATAATGTGGTCTCTGCAGTTCCTTGGCATCCAGTTACTGAATGATGTCTGTAAATCAGATTAAAAAAAAAAAAAAAGGAAAACAATTTTAGGTGGTTCAAATTAAAGTCTGACTGTTGTTAGATATGAAGTTGTCTTTTCTTCTCAGCTTCCCTTCAAGGCTATTTACCCTTTTAAAAATTAAGGAAGGCAACTTTGAAGTGCTGAGAGTACTTTTTGTGTCCAAAATTAATTTGAGGTCTAGAACTGGGCACAAAATTTAATTGCTTTGTGTTATGTAAAGGACTTAGAAGTATTGTAAAACAGCTTTTGGGATTTTCACACAGGAATCTGAGAAGATCATTGCAGAGCTGAATGAAACGTGGGAAGAGAAGCTGAGGAAAACTGAGGCCATTAGGATGGAAAGGTCAGGAATCAAGTGCTGTAGATGTGGATGGTCTCTAGAAAATGCAGAAGTGTGGAAAATGGAGAATGTAACTCTGTTCTAAAGCATTGGAACAGCAGAGTAGTGCTTGATAGTGATAATTCTGCTTTGTGTTGTATGTAACAGTAGGGGCAATGTTGAGAGAAAGCCATATTCTTCCCTGTATTTGCTACAGTTTAAGTGTTTACCGTTGTAGTTCAGGTAACATCCTAAGCTGCTACATTGGCTTCTGCTGTGAAGCAGCATGGAGTCCTGGTCTCTTTCTTCCCCTTCCACCATTCTCTCACAATCCAAAAATTCTGGCCCTAAAGTTTAGCAGAAAAGATTAAGCTTTTAGTAATGAAGTATCTAAAATTAACAAAAACATTTCCATTTTTTCCAGCTTTGGTTTGAATTGTGTCTTAGAGCAACAGGACAGATGCTTAATAATTGTCCACGTGGGTACCACCAGACAGAGCATTACTTATTAGAATATTAAAAACTTCCAAAATATGCTAGGGGAACATTCTTGCCTGGAAATAGTGTGACTGAGCAGTCCATAAAATCATGAGAGCTGTATGAAGAAAGTGGATAGAGATTGATTATTCTGACAGAGCTAAGGGACTTTAAGGCTAACAGGTGATTTGAAACAAATAGGAAGTTCTCGCAATACATAGGTAAGCTGCGGAGGTCTTTACTGCGTGCTGTTGATGATGCTAGAAGTTGAATTTAAAAAAAGATGACAATCTCAAAGAACAACAAAACCCTTTGGATAGCTGTTTAAAAGAAATGCCACCATTAAGTCTGGTGGAAATTCCTTAGGAAGAAGTTTGGACTGTGAGAATACTTTGGGGAAAATGTCAGTGTTTGCCATGTTCTTAGTCTTTTGTGTTGGCGTCACTGTTGGGCTTTGTCAAAGCAAGAATACTGTGTTACATGAGCAGTTTGACCTAATGGAATCCTTTTTATGTCTTAAGAAGGAGAGAGTACTTTCTGTATTAGATCAGTAAGAGCTAGTTAAGTCTTTCTAAATTAATGAATAGTGGTAACTCCTTTTACCGAAATTAAACATTTAAATTTAGAACAGACTTTAACTTTCCTTAAAGAAGCAATGAATGCAATGTCCTCAGATATACTTACCTTGTGAAATGTTGTTGCACTAAATCACTGTTAAATCTGTAAAATTTTTTGCTCTTGCTGTTCTGCAGGCCTCTCAACTCTAGGACTAATGTTTAGAAACTTTCCCTGTTGTGTTATGAGGTGGTGACAGCCCTGGCTGTATGGTCAGTGGATAGACTGGTTGAAAGTCTAATGTAGTTCATTACATGGCTTTCATTACAGCTTATTTTGCCTAAGCAGCCTAAAATATGGTAAATGTCTTGCTTTTCTCTCTCAGGGAGGCATTGTTGGCAGAAATGGGAGTTGCCATTCGGGAAGATGGAGGAACACTGGGAGTCTTCTCACCCAAAAAGGTAGAGAAAATTGATAACTATTGCATCATGTCTCCAAAAGGCTGATCAACCTGGAAGGAGAGGGTGGTGAGGGAGTTACCATTCACGCAGGGGCTTGTATTCATGTGAGATAACAGAAGAATGTAGGTGAGGTTTGGACTGTTAGTAGTGAGTTCCTTGTACAACATCTTTTCTGGAAATAGCTGTAGTGTTAAGAGTCAGTCAGAACACTCTACATCTAAGAATTATTTTGCCCATAATGATGAAGTTGGACACTGTTCCTCATGTGAGTGATGCGAAGTATTTAATGCTTTTAGGGAGCTGTGGAAGGAATTGCCTGTGGTAGCTTCCATTGGTCATTAAAGTAGGGAAGCATGTGCTAGCCTAACGCAGTGATGAAATAGGAGCAGCGTGAAAAGTTCATGGGGAGACTTCTGATATTAAAAAATGGTTGAACTTTTTTGTGCCTTCTTTTAGAAAAGTCTGTGCTGCAAGAAGTGTTTGCAGCTCCTTGCATGTCTGTTGAGTCACTAGCAACTCGGAAATGCTGCCTCTGAGGTTAACGTTGCCATTTTCTGCGGTAGCTGTCTGTGACCTTCATGTACTCTACCTGTTCTTCTTCGAGATACCCAGAAAAGTTCAAAGTGGTGTTTAGGTGCTCTTCCTCGAATTTGTTAGTCCTTTTTCCCCTTGGAAAACGGGATTGTAATCTAATGAACCACTGAACATAGGGTATGCAGGGGAATATTTCTTTCAGTACATGTCAATAGTTCTATTTTCTGAAATTTTGAAGAAGCAGAACTGTGCAGGGTAAGGGCATAAATCAGTGCTATAAATATAAAATGATCAAGTTAGTAAAGAAGCTATCTGTGCAGTTAGAGCGGGATTATTGAAGAAGTACAAGGAAAAGAACATACTTTCTTCTATCTCAGAAATCTTTGGACAGGAGCACAGGATAATATTCTAGCCCAAACCTTGCACATGCGAGTGTGTGACAAACTTGGATCTAAGGTTAAATGGGGACCTATCTGGAGGCATTGTACAGAAATATAGGACAGCAGAATTGGTTAAAATGTTTAATCCTTTCCTTAATGTAGTGTTGGACTGTTATGTTTGGGGTAGGTAGAACTCTGGTTTGCTCTTGGGATCTACTCCAGAAGTGCCTAAGGTTTGTAAAGACGCTAATTCATTGAGTGTTCTTTACATTTCTTTCTCTTATGTTATGGATCCTCATCTCCTTTTAGATTTTCCCTCAGAGGCCCTCAGCTCTTTTTGATGACTCTTTTGGTGCATTTTCAGCTGATCAGGTTTGTGTGTAAATGCCATGTGGATTAAGTAGTTGCTTTGGTAATAGGTAGTATTTGTTTTTACCCATATAGGATTTATTAGGAGAAGTAAAACTCCTGACCTAGTCCTGTCTGCTTCTGTTCCTTGCTATCCTTGCGCTTCAGTTTTATTAGTTCCCATTCTAGTAACTGTGGCTGCTGTTGTGAAAATTTAGGAGATGTAGATAGCAAATTTAAAGGGTTTTTTTTTGTAAAGACTTTACACTTCTGAGGTACTAGTATATATCTAATAATCTCTGCTAGGACAGCACTGTGTTTTTACCAGCTGAGCTGTAAATTGAACTCTGTAAGGTAAATTTTGCCCGCTTCACGAATTAAAAGGTATCAAATTTTGCAATCGTTGCTGTATCTACCAATTTTGCCTTTGATGGCAGGAAACTTCTTGAAATGGATTGTGGAAATTTAATTGCTCATACTGTTGTCAAAGGTGGGAGCAGGGAAAATCCTTCAGCTCATGCTTGAGGAATGCTGTACAGGAGAAAGTTGAAGATGTAACTGATAATAGATCTCAGAATGAGTGAATAGTTGGTTTTGCTAGCATCATCTTTCAAGTTGTTGTGCTTTATTTCTTACAAAGCTCTCTGTTGCATGTGAAAGATCCAATCAGACTTTGATTTAGAGTAGTAGATGAGCTCAGATGCCAAAACATGTATGTATAGGGTACAGCGTTACCTTCAAAGTGTCCAAGTGGTACAAGTCATAGTGGTGTTAAGCAGTTGACTGTGTGTGGGATTTGGTTTCTCTCCAGTTTTCAGCTTTATACAGCACCAAATGTTGATTTGAATGCAGTGAATAGCGATGATGGCATGAGACATCTTCAGCTGCGGTTTTAGGTGGCGACTGTATTTGTAGGGGTGAAAAAGGTGTCTTCTTTTTCCCCCTTTCTGTCTTTGCAGTTAAGTCTTCCATTGGGCAATCGACAGTCAGTCTTCTTCATTCAGAGACAAATTTCATTGTGAACGTCCAGTCATTTTTGAGCTTCTGTAAACAGAGTGCTGTTAACATCTCTCTTGGGTAAACTTTTTTGCAGCTAGAATAAGTTGATGGAAGCAATGTTTCCAAGGAATCTTAGCCAAATTTATTTCCTTTTGCTGAATTTATTCTATTCGAGGGTAACAAAGGGACAAATGGCTTATTAACAGATTTTTTTTTTTCTCTTTCATCATCTTTCTTTTTTAATTATGTTTAACCATTTTTGCCTTTTCTTTTGTGCTTGTACTTACTGCTATCTCACTGGCTAGATTTTCCCACCAAGGCCTTGTGACTTGTTTGCTGATTCCAATGGGGTTTTTTCACCAAAGAAGGTTGGTTTAGTAACCGTAGTGGATTTAAACTTAGAAGAACTTTAGATGAAGAGCTTTTTAGCTGTTTGTGTCGGAGAATGTTGTAGTTTTAGATTTTCTTTTGATGTTAACAGACTTTGCTAAATGAGCACCTGACCTGTATTGCCCAAGAAAAGCCAAAGCTGATTCCACATCAGTTTCAAAACCTTACCGAAGCAACCTTTCTGCTGTTGGACTTCGCTTACCAAAGTCGACAGAGACTTTACAAGGAATCTTTTCTTTTCCAGCTGAAGCTTTTATTCCATCTATTGGTCAACATTTCAGATGACTAAGCAATCTGAGATGTATTTCTGCTGTTAATTTGTGATGCTCTTCAGTACTGCAAGAGGTTATGTCTGAAAAAATGCATTATGGAATAACCTCAATATACATGGCAAAACTGCTGGATTAATATACATCCTCCACAGCTGTGGGAAGAAGCCTGAAAGTAGGTCCTCAGTTCTTAATTAACTTTTCTTTTTGTTCTTTCAGACTCCTCATCTTGTAAACCTTAATGAAGATCCACTCATGTCTGAATGTCTGCTTTACTACATCAAAGATGGTATTACTAGGTGAGGATTGGTGCTAATACGCTGTGAAGTCTGTTTCTTTGCTTGCTTGAATCCCCATGCTGGAGACACTGTGAGTTTAAATAACAATTGTGCCTTGAGCTATTCAACTTGCAGGTAGAAACGGAGCATGAGATTGCTGTAGGTGGAAAAAAGAACAGAGATGCATTTTCTTTTAAGTTGATTTTATGCTTTAAAGTAGTGTGTGCAGTCACTCAGCTTTATAAGTTTGTTACTACACCTGGGCAGTAAAAGAAAACATGATATCCCTTCTAAGATACAGCAAAACAAAAGTAGTAAAACTTACTGAAAATGCCTTTGAGATTTTGATGCGTGGAGAATTGAAAACCAAAGTACTTGATAAAAGCAACTGGAATATGGGTGAGAGTTCACTTCATTATTTAAATAAACTGTTACCCGTGTCTCTGTAGAATTAATCTCATATATGTGAATGCAGAATACATTAGATTTAATTGCAGATTTGGAATCGAAAACAAATTTTATTCCAAAACTCGTTGTCAAGACATTTGGAAGAAGAGAGGTGATTTTTGTTATCTTTGGAGCACTAGGCCATGTTTGGTTGCTTAGTTTGTGTATTCCTGGGGAACAAATTGAGAAGAATACACAAACAGGTGCTGTTTTATGGTACGACTTTAATACGCATTGGAACTACTGAACAAAATATCAGACTTGTAGAGAATTCAGCACAGAATGATGAATAGAATCACTCAGGGCTTAAGAAATCATAAATTTTGAGCCTAGCTAGCTGACACTAGAAATACGTAGAGTAATGAGTAGAGCAAGAAGTTCATAAACATTCGGCTTGAAAATTAAATTGTCTGTTTCTAGAATTGCTCAAATACTTGAATTTGGAATGGACATAAATCTTCCTGCTCCAGGGGTACAGCCAACCTCTTGCTGTTTGGGAGCTGTATGAAACTACTTGTAGCATTAAATTGTTCAGCAAGGGTCTCCTGAGCCATTTTTGCTGTTAAAGTGTCAGTGGTGATTATTGGAGGGGATGATTGCTCTACGCCGGCTGAAACACACCACTGGAAGTTCCTGTCAGTTTTTTTCTTTTTCCTTTTGTGTTCCTTTGCTAAAGGGAGAAAGGGGTGCACAAGAGGGAGAGAAAAGCATTAAATCCAGAGGTGTTTAACATGTCAATTCTCTCTAAATTACATATTTTAAGAGAGAGAAAACTTCTCTTTCCTTTTGGCAAGCTGTTATCTGCCAATTCATCGTAAATCTGGTAAGTTCTCTGCAATGCAGAGTTAAGCACTGATTCAAACCTTTAAGCTTGAAGGGTAGTCGTAATAGTTTAGACCTTATTCCTGGGTATTTGTGGTCTGTATTGTCCTACACAGAGTTGTAGAAAGTGTCTGATTTGCTCTTGAAATATCTTCTGTTGGACGCAGGGTTGGCCAAGCTGATGCTGAGCGAAGGCAAGACATTGTATTGAGTGGGGCTCATATCAAAGAAGAGCACTGTATCTTTCGAAGTGAGAGGAACAACAATGGTGAAGGTAAAAAACTGCTTCTCCTAGCAAAGTATTGCTGAATCTTTCACTCCTGACTTGATAGTTGGCCAAGGAATACTGTTATTTGAAAGTTTCTTGTACCTCAAGAAAACCATCGGCTTTGACTCACTGTTTTCTTGAGTCTTAGGGGACGAAAATAAAATTTGTTTGAGTGACAATAGCTTCAAATTGAAGGCTGCAGTCAGTATAAGAGTTAAGTTCTGACCTTGGTTAATTATAAACATGGAAATTCAAACAGAAAAAATAATTTTCCAGCTGCGGTATGTGGAGATGTCAGTAATACTGATTTTCTCGTGGGGCTTTATTTCTTTTTTTAACCAGCATGGCATCAAGGAGTGATTCACTTCGTCTTGTTTTGGTGCTACTAGGAAGATAGGCAGATAATGAGAGGCCTCTATGGTTTGCACGCTTCTGTTTCTATACAATGGTCTCTAAAGTCTCCTTTGTCAATGTTGTTTTCTTCGTAGTTATTGTTACCTTAGAGCCTTGTGAACGGTCAGAAACCTATGTTAATGGCAAGAGGGTTGTGCAGCCAGTGCAGTTGCGTTCAGGTAAGAAATGTTTTGTAGACTATCCAAGAATTGTGTGTACATGACATTTGCATCATATAGAGAATGCTGGCTGCTGTTAAAGGAGAGCAGTGTTACCTTTTGGTAAACTTTGGTTACCTTTTAAAACAGAAGTTTGTGTTGTTCTTCTCTTGGCAGTAGTTTGTGGGGTTTGGTTGTTTTTTTTTGTTCTTTGCTGCACTACTTGTAAGTGTACTTAAATATTCCTGCCATGCAGCATCCTGCTTGTCCTGCTGCTTACCCTGATATTATTCAAATACATTCCTGTCCAAGCCTATTGCCCTTGGCAGTCTCAGTGAGTCAGAGCAGACAGACTGCCAGTTGCTGATGGAAAATTCCCAGTTCCCTGGCAAAGCTTAGATATGACCCTCTGCAGGAGTACAACAGCTTCTCTTTGCTCTCGTTAGGTTTCCCACTCAGTTCCCTGCATTCCCTTAGAAAGGCATGTGGGGGAGGAATTGGAGAGGAGGGAATGACTTCCCTGAATTAGGGAGTTTAACCTATCTGCTTCAAGCTATGATTCTTTCTGTGTCTCTCCCCCATTTTTCTACTGGTAAAAAACCAAACCAACCAAACAAAAAACCCCACCTCTGAATTATTTGCACCAAGTTATAAGCGAGTATTTTCATGGCACCAAGTGTACTGACTTCAGCACAAGTCTGGACAATGAAGGAAGAACAGTTTTTGCTGTTCTGTGCCAGTATATCTCATACTGAGTACCATGACTTTATCATTTAGTAAATACTTTCTCTTAAAAAAAGTAAATTTTTTCCTTCTGCATCTACATAATTGAGATACTAGAATAACGTAGATATGGTCTCTGATGTCTTTAAGAGCCTGTATTTTAGTAATATATTAATGAGGACAATTCTGGTTACTTTGGAGGTCTGTTTACTAGAATGCCTTTTAAAAATTTTAACTACAGTAGTATGTTCCCTGGAAGAGCAAAGGCATTTTACTGTCTTTCATCAGACACGTCTCAGTTTTTGTGGACATCTGGTATCTCTAGGATTTAGCTGAAAGACTTAACAATATTAGATTTCTGCAGCTCTTTTGACATTAGTCTAAAAGAAGCTGTAAAATCCTTCCATAAATCCTGCTGATTAGGACTCCAATAAAATCAATACTTGTAAACCATGTTTTAAAGAAAAGTAAGCACCATGTGTTCCAGTGTTTGAAGTTAGGCTTTTCCAAGCTGAACTTCTGCTGAAGAGGCTTTTGCCCGTGTTTTAGCACTGTCATTGGAGGAGAGGAATGGGGTTTAGTGATGTGTTTTATTTCTGCAACTGTTGGTTCATCTCCAAGTTTGTCCTTTAGTTTTTAATAAACTGCTGGGATATTAGCTTGGCTCCAAGTTTGTCCTTTAGTTTTTAATAAACTCTGCTGGGATATTAGCTTGCACCCCAGAGGGTGATAGTGTTCTCTGCGAGCGCTGCTTCTTATCAGCAGTGGCTTGTTCTGTACAAATCAGGCTTTTTTTTCTTTTCTGGTCACCTAGTTAACTTGGAAGTATACAGAAATCCTTATAGGGCAATCTTTTCTTATGCTGTCAACCAACAGGATAAGTGGGATGAATCATTCAGTGATGTTTTTCAAGAGTTTTGGAATCCTTATCTGAGTTAACTTCTGTTCCTGTTTTTAGGAAATCGTATCATTATGGGTAAAAATCATGTCTTCAGATTCAACCATCCAGAGCAAGCACGAGCAGAAAGAGAGAAAACACCGTCAGCTGAGACTCCCTCTGAGCCAGTTGACTGGACATTTGCTCAGAGGGAGCTTCTGGAGAAGCAGGGCATTGACATGAAGCAGGAGATGGAGAAAAGGTAACAAAATAACTCAAAATTTCTACCTGAAACGAGGAGTTAGCTGTAGGTTATTTGGCTGCTGTCCATGCAAAACCCAAACGTGGGTTTGGCCACATAGCATCTCTGCTACCTATTGTGAAAGTTCAGAAAGCTTCCTTGTTATTTTACATCAGTGTTTCAGCGCTCTAGCTCCTTTAAAAATCACAGGTACGTACGTGCCACTAACCCTACAGACCTTCTGGTGAAGGACTGGACTGCAACTTAGAGGAAGTTTCACTTCTATATAGTAGACAAATAACAGTTCCTTTTAAGAGGGATGACTTTTAGTCTTGTAACTGTAATTCAGTGGGCTAAGCTTGTAGAGTAACACCAACGTGAAAATACTGACCTCTTTGACTACTTCTGTTCTTTTGTTCATCTTCAGATTACAAGAAATGGAGATTTTGTATAAGAAAGAGAAGGAGGAAGCTGATCTCTTGTTGGAGCAGCAAAGGCTGGTATGTGTCCTTACTTCAGATTAACTATACCTTTGGCAAACAGTAATTCCTGTCCTTGCTTATCTGAAAGTTTAGGAAACCTGCTTGGGTTGTCTGCACAATGCAGTTTTCCCTTTCCTTTCAAATACTTTGGGTCTACAGTGAATTATGATCAGTGTGAGTGAGCTCCTTCATGTTAATTCAGAGATTGTAATTGACAATGAAGAGGCTTTAATCAGTTCTCGTTGGGACAGGTTGAATTTCTTGCAACTTAACCTGAAAGAAGGGCATTTCTATGCTCTGTGTTTTTTGACGTTTCTTTTCAGTAGTCTAAACAGCTACTTCTTGGGATGTTTGCCTTTATTTTTGTCTTGGATCACCAGAACATACTAATTTTGTGCTGCCAAAGAGATTCCTAGAAAAATGATACACTAGGTTTAATTTTTTTGAATGATGTCTGAAAATGTTGCTGCATTGTGCATGTTTTAACCCTTCTCCCTCTCCCTGCATGGAGTTCCTTATAAGGGTCTTAATGGTACACATGGGACGGTGGGGTTATGACTAGGGAGCAGTATGCAAAGGGAATGTTAACACATTCAGAACAAAGGGAATTCCACCTATTTCCTAAATCGGAAGTCTGATCCATTAACTCAGACTTCAGTCTTCTCACAACAAATACCTTCTGAAGTGCATTACAAATAGAAATGCGTGCAACATTCTTCCAGCACCCTGTGGATTTTAAAAACAAAACCAAGCCCAGGAATGAAATCTAGATTTCCTTAAGAAGCCTCAGTCTCCTAATCCTGCTTTAAGTATAGTGGGTTGTCTTTTAGCCAGAGCACAAGTGCAGTTGTGCCTGAATTCTAACAAATGTCAAAATCATGATTCATTTGTTTGTAGTGTTAGTTTGAGACCACTGAGAACTGTGGGTTAAATGCATGCTGGGTTTTAAACTGTAAAGTTCTCCCCCTTTTCCCAAAACAGAATGGAGCAAAGTACCGCGGCTTCCCTGGCAGAAGCTACGCTTTCTATTGTTCTTAAAATTTATATTACGCACTTAAAAACTTCTGCATCTCTGATTATTTCATTGCAAAAGACTAATTTCTTTGCTGGAGAGGAGTGGCTGCAGACTTTGAACCGAAGCAATGCTTAGTTCAGAAAGGAAATTAAGATCTCACTAGTGTAATGTTTCATCTCTGCAGTTTTATAGTTGAAATTTGTGTAGCCGAAAATAGCATGGCAAAAATCAGTTCAATTTGAAAATAAAAATATTTTGAGTATCGAGTAAGTTTTGGCTATGTGTCAAAAGAGATGCAAGTAATGGAATTCCCTCCCTTAAATTTGAGCTGACAGGCACCAGCTAAGCTATTTTATGAATTAAAGATGTGAGGATTGGCTGTCTGGGGAGCTGCTTCAAATAAGGCTTCATTTATAAAAGTGTTGCAAAGGGAATTTCTTTCCCCATATACTGAAGATTAAGGGAGGGTTCTTTAGATAGTGGGTTGTTTAATACCGTAATAAACTTGCTGATTTGATTAAGCTTGTTTTGGTTTTGCTGATTTCAATTAGTGGGCAAAGGTGGAAGACTATCCTACATGCATTGCCAATGTAATTCCTGAAGGACAGCTTTCCTAGTAGTAAGGGGTCGTATCAAATGAGACCCTTGGTCTGTTAAGCAGTACCCTGCTTATCGCAACACTTAGTAAGAATATTTCAGATGACAGCAAAACTTCTTGACACATCTCGTCATTTCTGTGTCAGTGTATGCGGAGTCTGGAGTGGGCAGGATTAATGCAGTCATACACCAGTAGCTGAATAATGACTGGGAAATCTGGGAATGCATTTCAGCTTGTGTACCTTAAAAGTATTTACATTGCTGCAATATCAGATTCTCTAACTTACTGCTATGTAAGACTGATATTGAAATATAAATATTCCTCTTGTTCTAAACTGGAGTATCATCTCGGGTATAAGAACCTGGCTAATCCTGTTTACCAGACTGTTTTGGTTTTGTGATGAGATTCCAACCAATTTGGGTATTTGTTAGATGTGCTATACAAAACAGATAAATAATAGCTCTCGTCCCCCAAAATTTACAGTTAATATATATTTGCCTTACTAGTATTACTAGGGAGTGGAAATAATTGTTCTGCATTTTACAAATTGAACATGAAAATGTCTTTAATAGAGCTAAAATTATCTTCCTGATTTTCTTGGTCATAATGCCTTTGCAGTGACCACTTGATGTAGAATGTGGGTATGTGTCTGTATTAATTGGTCTGGTTAACCTCTGAGTGCACATAGGGCAACGCCCACATAGTGTCTCTTAATCAGCTTTCGATACGCAAGACACGTATCAGTAGTAATACGGTTATTTTGTAACCTATAAGAATAATCCTGTGGAACTTGTGATTTAATGTTTAAGTAGTTTGTATTTTGCCTTTCTGGACATAACCTTGAATGTGTAGCTTGTACGGTGTCTTCCTCCAGGGCATCTTTTGTTTCCACTGCAATATGCAGTTTGTTAGATGCTGTTTCCTTAGGCCACAGATTCTGTCGGCTGTAAACTCACAAAGAGTTTATGTTACGCTTATAAACCAGTGTTTTGCTTATATTTTGACCAAAACTAAGAGAAGTTGATTCTCTAGTGCTATTCTTAAATATTAAAAATACTTAAAGTCACAAGAAGCTCAAATAATGTGAATCTTTGGCTGTGGAGCTTGTGACATAGGGCAGAGCAGTATTTCTTTTACACCCTTTCATCATTCCCCAAACAAATTATGTTGTGTTCCCCATTCTTCATGGTCCTTTACCTGAAGTCTTAAGTCTAGGAATCGGTAGTTCTGAGTCAATGACCTGAGTTTCCTTTGGTTTTAGAGTAACTGACTGTTACTGTTTCTGATTTCTCATGTATTATAATTCTCTATGTGAAAAACAGGGATGTTAGATAGAGGTTCATTAGAGACTGCTGTGTTTTATTGAAGATGTTTGGATCACAATAACGCATAGGACTTTTTGTTTGTTAAATAGATGTCTTAACTTAATAATCCTTTAAAGAAAAGTAGTCTGACTTTAATTCCTGGTTGCAGTAAGCAATAACGGATATCCTTAACTTCTGGTGGCAGTATACCCGAACAAACATTTCTAGCGTATGGAAACCTGAAGCACTGCTCATTCAAAATCATTTAGCAAAAGAAGGAAAACTTGTAATGAAGAAGTAAAACACGCATAACTTAGCAAGTATGTGGAAGCTCTAGGGTTTGAGAAGAAGACAAATCAAGGATATCAAATAGAGAATTTGTATTAAAACAATTTAAAAAAAAAAGTCATTACTGCTACATTCTTCTGAAACTCATTCTTCGGACAGACAAGATTGTTAATGTTTGGTTGTTTGGTTTTTTTTTGTCTTTAAACTAAGCGACAAGGTGACAAATGGGGGAAAAAACCCCAAACCACAACCCACCTCTGAAACTCTGATTCTGGATATCCTTTTAGCTTGTAGCAAGTCTTGGAGTATGAACCACTGTCTTCACCTGTCATAGTGGCACTTACAGTCCTTTTAACATTGAACCTTTCGGCTGCTTCTGTTTCATTTTTTCTTATCGTCTAACACTTCTCTGGCTGCTATTGTAGTGAAGTGGATTCTAAACTTGAGCATCCCTGCAACCACGTGCAACGTTACTAACCAGTGTTAACCTGACTTACTCTGGCTGCTCATGACATCTTCTATGATGGCTGTTGTGTTCACCTACCTGGGGAGGATTTGCTGAAAGAAGCAACAGCAGTCACCAAGGCAAATGTGTGTGGCGGGGATTTGCATGACTTTGTAGCATGTGTGAAGTGCAGTTACACTTGGTTTTTAATTTTTTTTTAATCAGGAACTTGGTTTTAGTTTATCTGTTTAAAGATTTCAGAAGGGATCCGGGAGGGAAGAGTTTAGCTTATCTGCTATTTTGAGACGACAGACATTTAAATATAATGTTAATCTTAATTTAGTGAAGAGCTCCAATTTTGACAGTCTGTGACTCTTGAAGATACATTTTAATGTCCTCACACTGAGTCTTCAGAGACTTCCTTATCACTTGCTCTGTTTTGATTTTTGATTTAGTTTTCTTTGCCTGCTACTTCTTGTTTAGCTTTTCCATTTTCTTACAATTTTAATTTTGGTTATTTTGGGGCCACTTCTTGATTTTTGTTTTTCCAAAGGATGCAGACTCTGATAGTGGGGATGATTCGGACAAGAGATCGTGTGAGGAGAGTTGGAGACTGATCACTTCCCTGAGAGAGAAGCTGCCCCCCAGCAAGCTCCAAACCATTGTAAAAAAGTGTGGCCTCCCCAGCAGTGGGAAGAAACGAGAGCCTATTAAAATGTACCAGATACCCCAACGTCGACGCCTTAGCAAAGACTCCAAGTGGGTTACCATCTCAGACTTAAAGATTCAGGCTGTGAAAGAGATATGCTATGAGGTAGCGCTCAATGACTTCAGGCACACTAGGCAGGAGATTGAGGCTCTGGCCATTGTTAAAATGAAAGAGCTTTGTGCCATGTATGGGAAAAAAGATCCAAATGAGCGCGAATCGTGGCGAGCTGTTGCTCGTGATGTCTGGGATACAGTAGGAGTTGGAGATGAGAAAATTGAAGATGTTATGGCCAATGGTAAAGGAGTAACTGATGTGGATGACCTCAAGGTGCATATAGACAAATTGGAAGATATTTTGCAAGAAGTGAAGAAGCAAAACAACATGAAGGATGAAGAGATAAAAGTTCTTAGAAATAAGATGCTAAAAATGGAGAAGGTTTTACCGCTGATAGGGTCTCCAGAGAAAGCTCAGTCGACCATAGCTAATGCTAAGTCTCCAAACTCTGCCGGTGTGGTGGATGTGGATAAGAAGGCCACAGATGACTTAAAAAGAAGTGAGAATGATGATCTTGCTAAAGAGGAGCGTGTTTCTCAGTTAATGGCAGGTGATCCAGCTTTCAGACGTGGGCGATTACGTTGGATGAGGCAAGAACAGATTCG